AGATTTTCATAAATATTATATAAATTAAAATTAATATAGCATAGAAAGTTAAACTTATTTAAATTTGTTTGCTTCTTTTAAGTCGAGAAAAATATCTTTGAAATTTGAACTAGCTTAAATACACAATTTTTTCAATTGTCGTTAGCAAAGTACGATTGCCGAGTTGGTAAAACTTGTGTTTTACACGCTTGGGGTACGAGGTTCCAACCCGCGTATGATATAAATTTTTTGCATTTTTTCTTAATTCTTTTTAAGTTAGTATAAATTTTTAACTCATTTAGATTCAATAACTTCAATAAAGATCAATGATCCCATCACTTTAGTCGCCCCTTGCAAGAAGAAATTTCTTATTCATATTAAAATTATTTTACTATATTTAAAGTTTTAGCTTCGATGCAAAGCCGAGAANATATTTTAAGTTTTAGCTTCGATGAGCCGAGAAGATGTTTTTTTGTGAATATCATTTATTTTCTCTGCTCTAACTTGACCTACTTTTTTCAACGATACGTCCAATGACTACAATTCGTATCTAGTTGAAGATATTACTCTCAAAAATTGAAAAAAAAATTCTAATTTATCAATTAAACAGTTAGTTATTACATCGTCTCCATAAAGACAATTAAAATCATTAATTTCTAATGTTTTCAAAATATTTATTAACGAATGAAGTTTGATATGATAGGTTTCAACTACAAAATTAAATCATTTTACTTTGTAATTTAATAATTTTTTTACTCTATTTGTGTGTGCTACTACTAGACTATAATATTACAATTTTTTTTTGTAACATGTTGCTGTATAAATCATTTCTAAAAAAAATGATTGTTTTTTCTCCTGAATTAACAATTGATTTTTACAAATATAATCAAATTTTATAATACGCTCAATTGAGTAAATCTTTTTAACAACTTTGTTTTGATTGGTTCATTTAGTTAAAGTAAATCATTAAAATTAATTAAGTTCTCAACATTTCAATTGTAGAATCTTTTCAAACAACAAAAGTTATTAGGAAATTATTACTATTACTTCTATTTAAGTTATCTATTACCATAAAAATGCAAAAAAATATTGAGCTTTTCTGATAAATTTACAATAAATAGTAATTATAAAACTTTCTGACTGCATATTGATCTTAACGATACAATTTTTTTAATTGTCATAAAATTTTCTATTTAATTATGTCAATGTCAAACTTACCAATTGAGCTAAAAGTTATGGTAAAATAAATTTTTTTTTTTAATTATAAACATTTACAACAATCAACTTTAAACGATTAACAAAATTGGTTAAATATGTCATTTTCCTTATTTTTAACTTATTAATAATCAAATTAATATTAAATATTATATCAAATCAGTATTAATTTAAAACAATTTTTTTTGTTCTTAATTATTTTTTTTTATATGTAAAAACTATTTTTTAATAATATTAAAACTTAGAAGTTATAGAAAAAGTCTAATTGCACATTTTAAAACATCGCGAAAAGTTGATTTAGAATAGTATATTTTTGTTTCTGATGGAAGTTCCTTGTAGTCCAGTGTATAAAACTTATAACTTTGTTAATTGTTATAACTTTATCAAAAATGACCAAATCAGTATATTTTTTTTTATTTAGATGCATGTCTTTATCTATCATTTGGTTTTTTTTATAAATCTAACCCTTTACCTGCCCACAAGAGGGATTCAAAATATTAACTTTTTTTTTTTTAGTTAAAGTAAATCATTAAAATTAATTCAGTTCTGGATATTTCAATAGTAGAATCTTTTTAAATATCAAAAATTACTTAGAAATGATTACTATGATTTCTATTTAAGTGTTCTATTACGATAAAAATGCAAAAAATAATGAGTTTTTCTGATAAATTTACAATAAATAATAATTATAAAACTTTCTGACTGCATATTAATCTTAAAAATAACATTGTTTTAATTCTCATAAAATTTTCTATTTAATGATTCATTCTAGTCAACGAAGGAGTAATTTTGCAGAATAGCAGAAAAAATTCCCAACAAACTTTTTTTTTTTTTGTTTTAATTAGGCAATTGGTGGATTATTCCAAAAGCAACATCAACTCTTATTTCTTTAATTATATCATGATTAGTAGTTCTTTGATTTTAAAATATAATATTTGAATATATACTAATTATAATTATTAAATTTAGTATGAAATTGATATTTAATATTGTAATTTAAACGGAGAAATTATAAAAATAATAAAGAAGTTATATTTTGCTTTACTTTTACGTGTATAAAAATTTAAAGGGCTTGATACAATAATTTTCAATAAAAACTGTTTGTTACTATAAAAAAATGCACTGGACTACAAGGAACTTTCATCAGAAGCAAAAATATACTTTTCTAAATCAACTTTTCGCGTTGTTTTCAAATCTGCAAGTAGACTATTTCTATCACTTCTAATTTTTTATATTATTACTAATTATATATATAAAATAATAATTAAAAGAAAAAAAAATTTGTTTTCAAATTATTACTGATTTGATTTTTAATATGTTAAAAATAATCAGTCCAAATTTTCAATTTTAACCTATTTTTTTGGTTCTTTAAAGTTGATGAAAAATTTTTGATAAAGATTTATGAAAGTTTATAGTAAAATAAATTGAATATATTACCATAACTTTTAGCTCAATTACAAGTTTAAAATTGACATCTAGGCCAGTCAACAAAGGAAAAATTGCGGAAAAAATTTTGTTTTTTTAAAAGTTGAATTAAAATATGTATAATGACATACTAATAGTCCTCAAGATTGGAATTGAGCTTTTTTTTTAAATCCTCGCAAAAGTTCAAAAATATGAGCTTTCTTAATTTTCTCAAAAAAAAATATTTAACTTACAAAAAAAAGTTTCGCACAAAAGTTGTTTAAAAGACAATTATAAATAAAAATATAATCTTATATTTTTTCATTTAAACAAATATTTTTCGAGTTACATTACATTTAATATGAGTAATAAAATTTATATTCCATTTTTTTCATTTTACGGTTACTTTTTATCATGTTATACTTACATTAGACACAATGTTATAAATGCATATGTGTGTATGTGTGAGTTTATTTATTTATTGTATCATTAAAGTGTAGTGTATATTGAGATACAACCGATAGAGTAGGTAATTGATTTGACGCTATATTATTTAAACCCAACTAAACGCTAAATTGTACATTCCGAAATAACAATCATATTATGTCAATTGCCACCGGAATATCTGGTAATATTTTTCTTTTTCTTTGCCTTAATCCCAACTACTTGGGGTCGGGCACCCTTATCCTAAGATTCCACTTGACACGATCTCCCACATCTTCTACGCTCACATCAGCTGTCCTCAAATCGCATTCAATAGCATCCCTCCATCTCTTTTTTGGTCTTCCTCTATCTCTTCTTCCTTCAACATTCATTTCTATAACTGTTCTTACAGCTTTCGATTCTTCTTTCCTCATACCATGACTAAACAATCTAAGTCTATTTTCTGTCATCTTATCCACGATTGACGCAACACCTATACTTCCTCTTATATGCTCGTTCCTTATCCTATCTTCTCTAGTCACTCCACTCATCCAACTAAGCATTCTCATCTCTGCTACACTTATTCTCTGCTCTACTTTCTTATCAACCGCCCAACACTATTAACCATACATCATAGCTGGCCTCACAATTTCATACTAAATTTAAAAACTATAATTAGTATTTATTCATATATTATATTTTAAAATCAAAGAACTACTAATCAGGATATAATTAAAGAAATAAGAGTTCATGTTGCTTTTAAAATATTTCACCAATTTCTCTAAAGGAAACACTATCTACAGATTTGCATCGAAGCGTTTCTGATGACNATCTACAGATTTGCATCGAAGCGTTTCTTATGATAGTGATTTTAATCACTGTCAGATATCATCTATACTTATCTCATCTATGCCACGTCTATACTGTGCCTCGACCCCACTGTGCTACCGTTTTTTAATAATCAGGTTACACTCTTTGTAAAAAGCTGATACCTTTTTGAAATGTTAATCAAATTTTAATATTTTTATTTTGTAAATTTTTAATAACTTTTCATTTATTCAATGGTCAAAAACTTATAGATTTTTAGCAGATAATTATCTTATTTAATTTCACCAATGCATTACAGGCTATTCTGTTAGTTACATGAATCAAACATATAATTTCCATCTATAATTCAACAATGGTCTACGATTTGTTTTTATAAAATGTTGACTTGGCATATTTCTAAAAAAAAAAAAAAAAATTTAGAGATTTAGAGATTTAGGAACTTAAGAGTGAAATGAAATGTGTAATCTGTGAAATTAACTTAATTGTCTGTGGCTAGTAATCATTAAATCTAATAACCCTTAGAGTTATTTCAAAAAAAAAAAATATTTTAATTTTTATATTTCCTTATGTTAAATTATAATAAAACATTAACTATCGAAATTGAAATAATTTTTCAAAATGCAAAATTTTTACCAAATTAATTTTTTTACCTGTAGTACTCACTAAGTTATACCAATGTTCTGTAATATAGATGCTCTCCTTAAAACGCTTTTGCTTCAGTTTTATTTAGTCAAAGTGTTGGTCATATTCATTGTATGAATGTTTCCGTCTGTGTATAAGCATACTAATATTATATTTAATAGTTTTGTGTCAACTTGTAGTAAGGTAATCCTTTCTGATATAGAGTTAAATTGTCGTACGTATGGTTTAAGAGTCTCATGCACAACAAAGCCACATCTAAAGGAGTGTCCTTCCATGCGAGAGATATACACTATGTATATACTTCCCTACTTTTAGCTGACCTTTTCCTGGTCATCTTATCTATTAAAGAGCTACTATCTGTATTCCATATGTTTTAACACATCAGTAAGGTTTTGACATACTCCAGTTTTATAAAGGCTCAGTGTGTTCCAAGTTGTGATTTTAAGTCCAATTTCCGAATTTCGTATCTAGTCTTAATTCCATTTTTTTGTGTCTAAGGGCTGATTCCATGATGGTCTCAAAATAGGTGTTTCTGTTACAAGACAGGGTTGTTATCCCTGCGCCCAACCCCCAACTTGGAGGACCAAATTACAGAAACCATTTCTGGTTAAAGTAATGGCTATTGCAATGCATCAATGATGCATTGGATGATGGGGACACTATTTTCTTTACGCCGGAAACTTATTTCATTATTAATAAAAAAAATTAAAATTAAAATTAATAAGAATAAATGATTAATATAATTAATAAATATTATTTTGTTTAGTTATAATTATTTATTTTTATATGTATATTAATTAAAATATAAATAAATTCTATAATGAACATAATTACGTTTTATATTCATTAAGTTTATTTTTTTATTTTAATTAATATAATTATAAAAATAAACAGATTTAATTAAATTACAATATAAAATTATGTAACATTTTATTTTCAAAAATTAATGTATTGTTATTTAAAGTGCATTAATAATTTTAAATTTTATATGTGTATAAGTGTGCATTTTTTTTAAATTTTAATTTGTGTAATTATATGTTTTATATAATTTTTTGTGAATTATTTAAATTTAAAAATGCAGTGCATTTTTTAAATTCACATCAAGTGAATTAAATAAAAACATTATAAATTTATATGCATTAATAATAAATTATTGTTATTAAAAAGTAATATATTAATTAAAAATTAAGTTTTATGAATTTAAAATGTATTTATTTTATTACAATATATTACAAATAATTTTTAAATGTAAACATTAATAGAACACACACATTTATATAACGTACATGTTTATTGAACTTATACGTTGATCGAATAATAAATTTTGACCATATACCTAAAACTTTTGTATTCAATCCTGAGATTGAATAAAACTCTTCCTTATTACTTGTCTTCCTTTTTGATTCTTTGTAAGAATTATACCCTTAATTATTTGTTGCATATACTCTATTTGTGGTCTTCACACAGCATTTTTACCTTTTAAGCAGCCTTCTATAATTAATCCCAGTAACTCAACATATCTCAATATATTTCCAATCCATTAATTTCTCCTTTTCTTAATACTGTTGCATAGAGTTCTTCTTTTAGACATTTTTTCTAGTACTTCCTCAATTTTAACTATATCCAAAAAACTTATTTTCCTGCATTTATCTGTATCATTACGTCTCAAAAGCATCTATTCTTCTTTGTTCCCCTTTGGCATTTGTCCACGTTTTGCTACCATACAGCATTATGTTCCATACGTATGTCTTCAAAAGATTTATCCTGGTTTGTATGTTGATAATTATAGAACTAAAAAATCTTATTTTTTGGTTTAATGATATCTTAGCTTGGCATTTTCTCTTTATTATTTCTATTTTACTTCTGCCATCTTCACTTATTATGCTTCCCAAATATGTGAACTCTTCTACTTGCTTTATTGCTTGGTTATTTTGCAGATGTATTCTTGTCCCAATATTATTGTTTTTATTACATCCAAAAACTTTGGTTTTTTTTTTAATATTTATTTCATATTTTGTATACCTAATAGAACAATAGAATCCGTCCATGACGGTCAAATTTTATAGCCGAATATAACGACCGACTGAGATGCGTGATTATTTTTTTTTCGGATCCTCTAAAAAAATTTCACTCAATTAAAATTTTTTTTTCAATATTGTATTTATTTTGCAAGTAATTGAGTGGTTTATGATAAATTGATCACCCATATGTGATATTCCAATAGATAAATCCCATGACTATAGATTTAATAAATATTTATGAATGTGTTATAGCTTTCATTAATTATTCTGCCGGTAAGTCATTGAAACGGCCGATTTTAAAATCTTAAAAAAAAAAAATAATTTACATATCAATTTAATGCTAATAACATAAACTTATTACATGGTGAGCCCAGCCTAATTAGAGTACCCCTGCTATCTAGCTACGGTGCAAAATCTATCTACTGTAGCGCGGTCGACCACCAAGCGCCGGCGGTGAACGCTCTATCTTCCTTTTGGACGTCCTACACGAATCATCTCTATCCGTCAATCACGTGTTGTACACTGAAAGTTTTTTTTTAAATATCTATTATAAAAATACTTACTTGTATTTTATTTTTTTCCCTTCTGTTTAATTTTAAATTTCTTTTTTACTTTGTTTTTGTCCTCTCGGCCAGTGCCGTAGTATATATATTATTTAGACATCATTGTGTGTTAGTGATACTTCAATTATGTTTTTAATATCTATTGACACTAGAATTATCCGTGTCAAAATATATGAGTTTTAGAATTCGTTTTCAAAAAAATGGTTATTAAACTATAAATGACATGTTATTGACTTCATAGTAATATATTAATAATTAAATCATTCATTTTTTTCGTTTCATAATTGAATATTTTAAAATTCAATTGTTTTTGTGTCACACTCCAGTATTAATTAGAATATTTACAGGTATAATATATCTAGAAATATTATCTTAGTTAACAATTTTTTGCTAACTTTCAAAAACATTTCAGAGTTCGTTTTTGGATCTATTATTATTGTACTCTGTATAATATAATATATATAAATATATTTTTATGTTTAAAATTATATGTTCATTATTATTTCTAGATGATAGATTTATGCAGAACTATAAATTCGTTTCCATTAATATACATTGAAGATATGGTTGATATGTATAATAAATGTATTCAAAAGAATTCTTTGAAATTAAATGAATTAATTGATGAAGGCTTAAAAAATATTACTCCTAGTAATAAAAAGTCATTTCAGTATGCTGCAAATGTTTATAATGAATTATTACAGTTGACCAAAAATATTTCTACAAATTTAGAAGTAAATTATTTTGCTTTAAATTTTATTGTTAGTTTAATTTATTTTTATTAGTTTTTAGTTCTGTTTGTTATGTAAGATTAGAAGTTATAATTTTATATTATAATTTACATTTTTATTAATAGTTTTACCCTCTTTTTTAGTCCAATAGTTGCATTGCCAGTTCATCAAAAGGTAACTCTAGTTTAGCAATAGATAATAATACTGAAAAAAAAAAAGAAAATTGTTCCATTAGCCTCAACTTATTTAATGATGTATGTATCAATTAAAATAATAATTTTTAAAAATAATTAAATATTTATTAAGTTATTTTAATTATTATTTTCAATTGAAAAATTAAATTTTCTATTTGTTTAATGTATTCTTTTTATTTTGAAAATAAAATTTGTATTAATTAATTAATACACTTAATGTTTCAATTAAATGGAAAATATTAATGTCGAGTATTATATCAATTCTTTATAAATATTATTTTATTAGTATTATATGAGCTATGAATAGCCTAATACAATACTTGATAATTATGGAAACTGCAATCTATGTCCATTTAAATATTAATGTGCCTATATTTAATAGAACACTTTTTACTATTAAATTCTTAAACATTTTCTAATGAAAAAATAATAAAAATGGCTTTCTTAATATTTTTATAATAAACAAAACATGCAGTCATTTTTTTAAATATAATAAGTATTATTGAAAAATTTTTAAAAGTAACAAATCATGAAAAAAATGCAGTTGATCCATATTGATTTAATAACCTAAATACGTTTATGCGTATTATATATTTATGCGTATTTAATACGTAATATATATTTATATTACTTAAATTATACAGGGTGTTCAGTAAGTCAGGAAACGGGTATCTATTGTTCTCATTGTTACAAACAATGAACAGAACAATATACACCCTGTATATTGATCAATAAACTTATATAACTCCTTAAGATATTATTTTGGCAAATGATCCAAACAGTTCATATATTGACCATTTTCACAAAAAAATTGTGAAAATAACGATCTATGTATATTATTAACATTAACATAATGATAGTAAATTGCAAAAAAAATGTTTTTACTGTTACAGCTAATTGAAAAATGTACTCAAAATTTTAATTTTCCTAAGTCAAATATTAAATTAATAGATCAATTATACAAATCATTGCCATCAGAATTTACCGAATCTAAAATGTTTATTAGTTTGTTAACGGAAACAAATCAAAAAGTTTGGCCTGACAGTGGACATAGTTCATATGTGTATGTTCAGCATATTTATGAACAGCTGCAACAATTTAAAACTTCTGAAATGGTAACAGTTTTTTTAATATTGGCAATAGTAATTGAAAATAATAATAAAATTATTTTAAAGCTTATTTAAAAATTAAATAGCTACTTTTATTTCATAATTTCATAAATGATAAAAATGATAATTTAGAAAAAAATCAATTCTAATTTAGCACTTTGTTATAGCCTTAAAAGAATTTTCTAGTAATTACTTGCACAAAGCTATGTAAGCCTAATATCAGCTCCATAGAATATAAATTAGTAAACAATTCTAAAATTTTCATAAATTTTTAAAAGTTAACTTATGAAATTTTTATTGACTGTTCTTTACTCATATTTTTAATTATCTTTAACAACTTTATAAAAAATAGTTCTAGAGTTACCAATTCATGAGTTTAGAAATATATTTTACATAGTATCTAATATCTTCATTTAATAAAATATTTATGTTATTTTATTGTATATTTGTTTATTCATTATCATATTTAATGATAGTATAAATTTTAATTAAAATATTTTGAATAAATAATAATTTGAATAATTAACTAATATATTTTTTGTATTTAGTATCAAGAAAAAAATGTAAAATGTGACCATGAAACCATTGCAAAAGTAAATAGAAACATGAAAAAGCTGAAGAAAGCATTTAAGGTTATTGAATTTTTTTTTTATTTGCCCTTAAAATCAATCGTGTCCCTTTTTAATGGGGCTTCTTAATCTTACATATTCTGGGACATGTGATACGTCTGTCATCAAAAAAACGGATAGTGATTTCAATTATTAAAATTCAGTAGGCATAAAAATTGACTGTGATCGAGTCTCGAACCTCTGATAGTGTGCATTAAGCAACTATATGTTACTGACTTGGCCACATAGATAGAAAAGATTAATATTGTTATTCTGAATATTACAAGAAAATTATCCAGTAAAAATAATAATTAAATTACATTGATTTTTTTGTTTAGATAGTTAGAAAAAAGATAAAAATGTTGAATGAAAAGGAAATGAATGTAAGCGATGATGATGATTTTGATGTTGGATCTGCTTACATTTTAAGAGATAAGTTAGTTATTAAAAGAAATTACTGTTATTTAAACAGTCAAAATTTCTTTTAGTTTTCAACTTAAACATGAAATTTGTACTTAGGTATGAAAAGAAAGCTGTTGAAATATATAAAAAAATGTGTAAACTTAAAGAAGAGCCAAATTTTCTTGAAAATCCACCAATACGTTTCAAATCAACTAAGAACGTTTTGGTTAACAAAACAATTGAGAAATATTATAATATAAATAAATCATTCCCAGATTACTTTGAAGTATACACTTTGTTAAAAACGCTCAATGAAAAAAAAAAATTAAATTGGAGTGAAAAGGAGCTTAGTAGTATTTGTGAGTATTATTATTTTATTAACTAAACTAGGCTCCGCCTAGCTGGGGCCCTTCGAGCCTTACGCGCCGAAGGCACGTAAGCCTCTTCGGGCCGTCATCATAAGTAGACCACTGATTCCGGTAGAAATACCCGGCTACGCCGGGCACGATAAGTGTTTTTCAGAAAAAATATTGCTTCAGAATCAGTANGTGTTTTTCAGAAAAAATATTACTTCAGAATCAGTGAAAACTATAGAAAACTATATCTAAAAATGTTATTATTAAAATCAGGAAAATTCAAAAAGAGAATATAGTAAAATGTATTGGGTATAAGGTTGAAGCTTCTTAATGAGGTATTCCCTTTAGGCCTATTCAAAAATTTATTAGGAGGAAATTTAATATTTTTTACTTTGTTAAACATGTTATAGAAATTTTTTTGCTAAAATTAAAGTAATGATGAAAAAAAGGGACATTAGGTCCTTATATATTAGAAGTTGCCTAAAAAAATATTAATAGCGCTTGTTCAAGGAGGGGCCAATCTCTCTTAAATATACCCCTGTTATACACAAAAATTATTAATAGTCTAATTATAATAATTGTTTATATTATAGAATAATTAAAAAAAAATTTAGCAGGTTATTATAAGTGGCACACTGTAAATTTAAATTTAAATTAATATTAAAATAAAATTAATATAAAAAATAAAAATTTAATTTTGATAAATATATTGGTAACTGCAATTTAACGATGAACATCATAGTTATCATAGATGAACCCCAATTCAAAAGATAAACTCATAGTCTCATACATCATATATGAGAAAAAAGAAAATTATTAACTCTGTACTTAGTACTGTTCTTATAATGAAAGTACAAACTTAAATAATTATAACGTCATGAAATTTATATATAACATATAACATTCCTTGATAAAAATAGGGCAAATGCAAAATAGTGTCCTAATAATAATACATAATACACCATATAATTAAGGTTCATAATAAACGTATCAGCAGAAATGAATCACTGCGCATAATACAACCATGCGCGTGGACTTAAAAAAAAAAAAAAAACCTCGTAAAACGGTGAAAAATGAACGGATTGAATTGATTTTTTTATCATATCTCAGGAATGTCATTGGGCGGGTCTGATGAAAATTTCAAACCTTAAGTCGTAAAACGCTGGCGTCAGCGAGCGTTTTTCTCGAAAACGGTCGAAATTTTAAAACGCTCGCGGGCGAGCGGCAAAAATTTTCCGACCTTCGCCAATAATTTTCCCGGAGTCTGGTGACCGAGTACTTTCGTTGAAAAAAAAAATTTTGAAAATCCGAGCACGCTAAGTAATTTTCCCAGAAAAGCGTTTTTTTCCTTGTTCTATTATATAATAAGATATAATAGGACGCGTACATGTGTATTATTAGCAAACAGAAAAATCGTCATTTTCCGTTAAAATTTGATGAATTTCAAACGCTCGTAGCGGCCAGAGGTTTTGTTGGATCTGGGATTTTCCGATTTTTGGCGCTTCCTCGGCATGTACAGAACGCCGTGGTATGAATGCGAATCGTAAAAAAAATCGTTTTCATGTCGTAAAGTGTCGCAAGAATTTCGGGCGGCGCGCCCTGGCGTCTCGAGCGCATGAAAAAAAAAAAGCTCGTAAAACGGTGAAAAATGAACGGATTGAATTGATTTTTTTATCACATCTCAGGAATGTCATTGGGCGGGTCTGATGAAAATTTCAAAGTCGTAAAACGCTGGCGTCAGCGAGCGTTTTTCTCGAAAACGGTCGAAATTTTAAAACGCTCCCGGGCGAGCATCAAAAATTTTCCGACGTTCGCCAATAATTTTCCCGGAGTCTGGTGACCGAGTACTTTCTTTGAAAAAAAAAATTTTGAAAATCCGAGCACGCTAAGTAATTTTCCCAGAAAAGCGTTTTTTTCCTTGTTCTATTATATAATAAGAAGATATTTTAAGCATTTAAAATACTTAGTAAATTTAAGCTACTTTCAGGTGAAAGTACTCATTTTTCTTTAGATTTCAGGATATACATTTTTATAGTGTAACATGATTTAAAATTAAAATTTTTTGTTTTCTTTTTTATTTAGAGCTTTATTATTATATAGAATTATTTTATTTAGTTTCGTCTGTCATGTTATTGTCATCTAAAATAATTGGCTCTTCTAAAGTATAGTCAGGAACGCATAGTGCCTTAGTGCATTTATAAATTAAATTTTATTCTATTGAGAAGTGTACAGTTTTCCTGTCCTCTCAAGAATAAGTAGTAGTTTTCAAAAATGTTAATTATAAATCTAAATTATTCTAAACAAATTAATGGCATTGCTAGCTAGAGTTATCTAGCTGATAATCATAGTTTCATATAGACTAAAACTAAATAATTTTGGATAAAATTCTAATTTAAAATTTTATTGTAATAAAATAAAAGATTTTATTAATTAAATTTAAATAAAATTGATTAAGATTTTTTAAAATACATTTTCAAAGAATAAGACAATATATTGATTAACAGAGTCTACATTTTATTGTTCTTTAGGTTATTTATTCTATAACCCTTTTTAAATTGTAAAGGTAGGATACTTATTTTAAAAATTATAATGGATGCCAAATAAGTAGGGAAAAGAGTTTACATTGTTCTACTTGTTTGTTAATACAACCTGTTTCTTTATTAAATGAACATCTTATTTACTTTATTAACATATTGTTTCAAATACAGCTCAAGATGCATTTCTTAAGCTCGGAAAGCAGTTAAAAGTGTTGAGACTTAATGATTATTTCAGCAGTTTATCTGATATGATAACTGATAAAGATCCAGCAGAAGAGAATGAAGAATTGAAAAAAAAACTTGAAGAAAGTAATAAAAAACTTAATGAAGACTTGAATAAAGTAAGGTTTTTTTTTTATTAACAATAAAATATAAAAATTAAGCAAATTTCATAGAATAATTAATCATTTGTTTAGAAATTAAAATTACTACTAGTGATACAAAAATTTTTTTGAAAATCTAACACTTATTCTACTCACAAGGGAGATTCCCTTGTTCTCTGTAAATGGGGGAAATCCCACAAAAAATTACAAATTTAAAAATCGCTAATTTTCGACATTTTTTAAATTTTTTTTTATTTAAAACTGCCATTACTTTTTTAAAAATGACCGAATCAATATAATTTTTTTTTTTTGTAGATACTTTAGGTATTTACCTATCTTTTGATTTATTTTTGTGAACATTTGACCCTTTACCAGCCAATGGGAAAAGTTTCAAAATGGTAACTTTTTTACAAAAAATTAACTTTTTCAAGTTATTTTTTGAAAATGTTTTGGAAAGACTGGCACTTTTATATATACCATAAATTAAAGCTAATGTAATATACTTTAATTTAAAAAAAAAATTTGACTTCTGGTATTGTCTTCATGGTGAAAATGACTAACGTATACAAAAATATGCTATTTTTGTAAAAAAAATTCTTGACATTATATTTTACATTTTTTAACATTATGTTGCTATAACTATTTAAAAAAATCTATTTAAATAAATTACTATTTAAAACTATTTAAATAAATTTACATAATATAGTTAAAAATGTAAAATATAAAATCGAGAATTTTCGCACAAAAATAGCATTTGGTAGCCATTTTCACCACAAAGTCAAGTCCAGAGGTCAAATTTTTTTTTTTCATAATAAAGTACATTACATTAGCTTTAATTAAAGATATATATAAAAGTGTCAGAATTTCCGGAACACTTTCAAAAGTAAAGTTGAAAAAGTTGTTATTTTGAATCCTCCCCTGTGGGCTGATAAAGGGTTAAATTTATAAAAAAAATATACCAAACGATAGGTAAAGACATCAAGCATCTATAAAAAAAAAAAATTATATTGCTTTGTTCATTTTTGAAAAAGTTATAGCAATTTTAGGTAAAAAAAACCCAGCACAGTGGGGTCGCGGTATAGTGGGGAAGTTGCATAGTTGGATCCAGTATAGATTTAATCTGACAGTGATTAAAATCACTATCATAAGAAACGCTTCAATGCAAATCTGTAAATAGTGTTTAATTCTAAGAAATTGATGGATAATTACAAAAGCTACTTTAACCTTAATATTAAAATAGCATACGGTAACCATTTTCGCATAGAAGATAGGTGGACGGAACAAATTTTTTTTTTTATTTTATAGTACATAAAATAAACTTTAATTTTATATATGTTTAAAGGACGCAGTATTTCCGGAACAATTTCAAAAGTTAAGTTGAAAAAGTTCTATTTTTTATACAATGTTTCAAGTTTTGAACGCCCCCTATATATGAGGAAATTGTCCAATTTTAATAAAAAGTATGTCAAATGAAAGATGTACTATAATGTTTATAGGAAAAAAAAATTGTGCTGATAATTAGATTTTTCGAAAAGTTATAGCATTTTTAAGTTGAAAATTTAAAATCGAAAATCGAAAACTTTAACACAAAAATAGTGTTTTTTTAACTACGGCAGCCGTTTAAATGTAGAAAAAAAAGTGTCGGGACAAATTTTTTTTTTCATTTTATAGTACATAAAATAAGCTTTAATTTGATATATGTTTGAAGGACGCAGTATTTCCGGAACATTTTCAAAAATTAAGTTGAAAAAGTTAATTTTTGTAAAAAAGTTGCTATTTTAAATCCCCCCCAATGAGCAGGTTAAGTGATAGATTTTCAAAAAATGATATCAAATGAAATGTAGATATCTAAGGTTTTAGTATAAAAAAAATTATGTTGATTTGTTGATTTTTCAAAAAGTTATAGAAGTTTTAAGAAAAAAAAGTGAAAAAATTTCGAAAATTAGCGATTTTTAAATTTGTAATTGTTTTGTATATTTCTCCCATTTGCGGGGAATGAGGTAATTTTTACAATTTTTAAGAGTAATGTCTTTAACTAGATACGATTTGTGATCTTTTAACGTATCATTGAAGAAATCGGTTCGGTGAGAGCTGAGAAAAAGTGGTAACAGACACAAAAAAAACACATCATATTAAAATTAATACCTTCTCAGCTTCGCATCGAAGCTAAAATAGTCTTTAACACTATCCCGCTTTTCACTTTTTCTAAATCTTCATATGCTAATATTATTAAACGTAATATACAATCTGTATCAACAGACACAATAAGCATATTTGATAAGAGTTACAAGAATGACATGGAAAATTTGATGAAAGAAGCCACCCATCGAAGGCACTTTCTGTGGATTTTTTTTTTTTATTTTTATATTTTTATTAAAAGTTTTATTTGAAATTACCTTATCTTAAGAGATCACGACACCATTTACGCTTCAGACGTCGAGGGGGATTACCAGGTATGGAAGGAGTAAATAAGTTTTTTATATGTTCATTAGGGTGGTTATTTAGTTTAGAATGAAATCTTTTATAAAAAATTTTTGTTTCGTCGTTAATTGTTTTAAGTTGGATGTCAGTATGGAGGGTGTGATTAGACACGTAAGGTGGGGCGTTCATTATTTTACGGAGAGCAATATTTTGAAAAGTTTGTATTTTTAGTATGTTTGACTTTTTTGCTTTTCCGCAGAGTTGGAGACCGTATGTCCAAATGGGTTTGAGAAGTGCTTTGTAAATCAGGAGTTTGGTTTGAATGGTAGTGGAGTGATTATTGCTTATTAGAGGTTTGAGGAGACGGAAACGATGATTCAGTGCTAGTCTTTTAATTCTGATATGATGAGCCCAGGTTAATCTTTGATCAATAGTGAGCCCGAGATATTTGACTTTTGAAGAGTAAGGGATAGGAATACCGTAAAGAAAGACTCTAGGACAGGAAGCATGTTTGAGGGTGAAGGTAGTATGGATCTGGCTACTTCCGCAGTAATGCAAATCGAAGCCTGGTGATTTTTTAAGTGCGTATTTTTGTATAGCATATTTTACATCATTAGGTGTAAATGACTTGACAGGGAGCGACATTGGGAGAGGGGTATTTAAGAACGTTTCAACTAGATTCATGTTTTCAACATCTATGATATCAGCGTGTGGTTGAAAAGTATTAGCAAGATGATCCTTAAAGAGTTCAGCTTTTTCGGTATTCGAAATAGTTAAACTGCCATCTGAATTTTTAATAGGGAGATTTGGCGATTTATAGCGGAGTATTTGTTTTGTCTCTCTCCATAGGCTACTGTCTACGGAAGTGAGTTTCATTAAATGATTTTGCAATATGTTTGACTTAAATTCAGTGAGCAGTTTTTTTAGTGAATTAGCTAGTTTGTTGTAGTTAAGTTTATGGGAAGGTAAACGCGTGCGCTGGTATAGAGCTCTTGCTCTTCTTTTTTCTACAATTTTGTTACGTATATATTCAGGAAGTGGGCTTGCGGAAGGAGGTGCTGGCATAGTATTTGTAGCATACCATGCTGCTGTTTGTATTAAGTTAGTAAGATTGAGAACCGCTAGGTCTATACCATTGGGAGATTTTAATCTTGTATTAAGTTTAATATTTGTGTTGACTAATTCGTGAAATTTAACATGATCTGTGAATTTGTTAAATAATTTGTTGGATTCTTTAATAGAAGGGGAAGTATTGAGAGTTAGGAGTATCGAAGAATGGTTAGAATTTAAATCGAGCAAGTTTTTAGTAGAGTGGAATAAGGTGTTCGGTAAATTGGAGACAAAAATGTCGAGAATATCTGGATTTTTACGGGCCGAAGAAGGCCAGTAGGTTGAATCAGGTGGGGCTAGAACTTTAAATCTCTTAGTATTTATATAGTTGTATATGGTGACTCCCCGAGGATTATTCGCGCGGCAACCCCACGAATGGCGTTTGGCGTTAAAATCGCCGCCTATAATAAAGTTATTATTAAATGAGTTGAAGTAGTCGGCGAATTGAGTGTTTTTTATATTATGTTTTGGGGGTAAATATACAGCAGCAATGGAGAGTGACGTATTGTTTATCTTTAGATTAATAGCACAGGATTGGAAAAAGGATTGAGAAACCCTAGGCAAAGGATAAAATTTAATATTGGATTTAATAAAGATAGCAGCACCCCCATGCGCGGTATTGTCAGGGTGATTCGATTTAATTAAAGTATAACAGGGGATATGTATATGGGAGTATTTAGTGAAGTGGGTTTCCGAAATGAGGACGATATCGATGCGTCTGTTATTTAATACGGTTTCAGGGTCAAGGGCATGGTTTTTTAATCCATTAGCGTTATATTGTAAAATTAAGAGCGAATCGTCGGTGATAGATTTATTGTAGTTATTATTAGTCATTATTTGTCAATGAGCTTGGAGATTACTTTGGTTAATAGAGAAATTAGTGGATTTATAACATTTTTTAATTCATTTAAGAAATTGGTCAATAATTTGCTTAAATCAGGCGGCTGAGTATCAGTAAGAGGAGGTGGAGCAACGAAGGCTGGTGTATTGGACGTGGCCTGAGCGTAAGTTTGCGTTTGGGGAAAGGGATGATTACGGAAAGTGCGAACAGGTGGGTGGCTACTTTGTACATTAGCGTTTTGGGTATTAAGATTATTTTGAATACGATTACTAAGTGTGCTGGGTATCTTGCGACGTTGGAGTTCTTTATAAATTGTGCAGCCCCTGTAGTTGGCTGGGTGGTTTAGAGAGCAATGAACGCATTTTGGAGGAGCATCGCATGGGTTCAGGCAGGCGGTTGACTGATGATCTGCTCCACAGCGAACGCATCGAGGATCGTATCCGCAGTAGGTTCTGGTGTGTCCATATTGCTGGCAATTGAAGCATTGGGAGATTGACTTCGGTTTGTATGGTTCAACGATTTTTATTTTACAATGAAGCAGTGAAGACATTTTAAAAATTTCGAAGGATTTCGATGTTGGTTCAAGATCAACGAAAAATAACGGGAGGGGATTTTTATTGACTTTATGTAGTACATTGATAACTTGCCTTACCTCGTAGTGGCGAACTTGTAACTCTTCTTTTATTAGATTTAGAAGCGTGGATGGGTGGAGGTTACGTATAATTATCCGGAGTGGTTTATCCTCCTTGAGCTGGTAAGTATGATACTCGGCTTTTTCAGATTTTAGGTAATGTACTAATGTTCTGTATGCATTAGGGTCCATAGTTTGAATTTTCAATGAGTTTGTTGACGATTTACATATAAAATTGTCGACGCCTATAAACTCTATTAAGACTGTGCAAAGTGCGGGAAAATCTTCGACACCTTTAACAAATATTGATGGAGGAGATTTAATAAGTGTGTTTTCATTATTCATTATGTTATTTTCAGCATCATTTTGAAGAGAGTTTGTAGATATATTTACAGTAGTGGGCGGGTCGAAAGGGTCATCTTGAGCAAGCAGTTCGAACCTGTTGCGTGAAGCAAAAATTTTTTTTTTTATTTGTTTATTGTTTTCCTTTGTATCCAAATTCGTATTCGGAGATGAGGGATCGGATTGTGAGTTTGAGGAGTTGGAGTGTAGACGTTTGTTTGTTTGTATTGACCATCCAATGTCTATAGTATTAGCTTCTGAGTTCATTGGTGTAGTTGCTTTTGCGATAGTAATCGACGGAACGGTTTTCGTCGTTTTGTTATTAATTTTATTATTAGGACTGTTTGGTTGATTATTTTTCATGGTGATTTCGATAGAGAGTTAATGTTGGACTTGGGTCGAGCGATAAATTAAACATTACCGGCAACTTGATAACGCGTGAGCGCAAGGCACAACGGCGAACACTAAGACTATGCTATCGGAGCATATAAGCGGTGTGCGAGACAATATACGTGCGGACTGTACGGCGTCTGGGCACGAACTGCACTTAGAAGTGATAGAAAAATTCAATTGCATATTTGAAAACATCGAGAAAAATTGATTTAGAAAAGTTCATTTTTGTTTCTGATGAAAGTTCCTTGTAGTTCAGTGTATACGACTTATAACTTTATTATAAGTAACAAACATTTTTTATTGAAAAGTATTGCGTCAATGTCTTTTAATTTTTATACTCGTTAAAAATAAAGAAATATACAACTATTTTATTATTCTTATAATATCTCCGTAAAAATTACAATATTAAATTATTGAATATCAATTTCATACTGAATTTAATTACTAAAACTATTATTTATTCATATATAATAATTATAAATCAAATAATTAATCGGGATAAAATTAAGGGAATAAGAGTTATTGTTGTATTTGAAATAATAACCTTTTTTTTATTATATAAGTTGTTCAAAAGTTAGATGTCTTATGACATAATGTGTTTGACATAATGTCTTACTAAAATTTATATGGCAATGTGATAAAATTTTCTGGAAATTCAGATTATATTGAAAGGAAATTGTAAGGTTGTATTACCACCTTACAAAAATATTTTTATAAGTAATAAAATAATTTAATAATAATTTGTTTTGTTTTATTATATATTTAAATAAATGCAGTGTTTTATTTTTTATTTATTATATTCATATGACTATTTGTTGTAATAAATATCAAGAAAAACATTAGATATTAATTTATGAACTATAATTTTTATTTATGTTTATTTCTTATAGTTGACAAAAGAATTTGAGTGTAAACAAGAAGAACAGGAGGAAACTGAAGGTTCAAGTCTTAATAACACAGAATGTGAATGTAGTAGTAATGATGAATTTGATCATAAAAAAATAAAAAATAATGTATTAAGAGAGAAACCTAAAATGATTTCAACTAGAAGAAAACAATCTCCTAATTTCAATAGTGATAATAATCTAGACTCAACAAATATAAAGTCTGAAAATAATTTATCTGTAGATTTTAAACCCTGTACAGTACAGTTAACTCCATTGAACAAAATTAAAATTAATTCAAATAATGGTACAAATAATGAACCAAAGCATGTAACTGAAAACTTAAACGATGTTAACAAAATATTTGATGAAAAATTAGTTGAAAACTGTACTAACAAAGAAAATAATTTTACTTGTAAGATTGACTTAGACACACAAGAAGAATGTCAAAGTATTAATAATGTAAAAATAAATGATACTGATAAACTTAAAATTAATGAGGTTCATACTAATAAAAATAATAATATATTACAAGCTGACTCTGAAGTCTTACAAAAAAAAATTAATACTGATAAGTTGATAGAAATGATTGAACATGATGATTCTGAATCTGATATAGAAATAACTATGTGTAGTGTTAATGATAATGGAAATTTAAGGAAGCGACTGAAATTTCAAAATGACCCCAAGATAAATTGTAAGATTTTATTATTTAAATATATTCTTATTTCTAATTATTAAATCTATACTAATCTAACTAACTTGGCCGACATCAAGTAGTTGGGATTAAGGCAAGGCAAATGACTAATCTAACTAAATAACATTTTTACCTCTTTTCAAAAAAAAAAAAAAAGATTGTGCTGTTAAAAATACTTTCTCAAGCAACTTTTTGATGTTGTAATTATTCCTGTTAGGTATATTATAAAATCAATACTATATTAATTTCATAACACAAAAGTAATACATTTTTATTTTATTTATAATCAATGTTAATGGAATACAGTGACATTCTCAGATTTTTGTTTTGGAAGGAGATATACGAAAGAAATTTGGGTATTTAAATAAATAAATCTTTATCTCATAATTTGATTATAAGTAAACATTTTTCGTAATAAAGCAATTTTTCAACCTCATCTTCCCTTATAACGTCACTGTTCTTGCCTATTGTGTCTAAATGTAAATGCGACTCTTGGGAAAACTCTTAGATTTCTACCAAGTTGTTATTATTGTGATTATATATAAAAATACCACTTATTTCTCTGTGAGTGGCAAGTATATTTAGCAGTTTTAAAACGTTAACCAAATTGTTTCTTTCTAATAGCAAATATACAAAAGATTAATAGAAAAATACATAATAACTCAGCTGTTTCGACACCTAAAACATCGAAATTTCCACAATATTTTCAAGTAAGTATAACAAATACTATATTATGTAAATAGTCTTTATTTATTAATAATGAAGTCAATATACTCAAAACTGGTTTCTACTATGCGGTTCGCAATATACATTAATTTATCAGGAGGTAAATTAGAAGGGATCACGCCACTAGTATACGACCCGCAAGAAAATTTAAATTTAATTTGGAAATTTTAGATAGGGTGATGTTGTTTTTACTTACTACAAACATTTTAGTTTTGCTCACATTTAAGCGCATATATATTATATGCATTATACATAGTAATATTATACATATTGTATGTTGTTTATACTTAATATACTTATACTCATTATTATAGCTATATTGATTCAAGTTCCATATTTCGTATTTTCTAACACTTTTTTAAAAAGATTTTGAATAGATGTTAAAAAGCAGTGGAAAAAACTCATATTCTAGTTTTTTATCCTTATCTCTTAAATAAGGGTTGACCGGGAGATTTTCGCGCTTTCTCCTCACTTAAAGGGTCCCCTAATTTTTTTTTTTATTTGAATAATATTTCCAGGTATAATTATTTATCTACTTAGTGCTTTTTCCAGAGTGTAGAACACTGATAGAATTGGAAAAAATCGTAGACCTATTAACTTATAGACATCGCCTATCCTATCACTCTACCTATGGTTCTCGAAAAATATATAAAGTGAAAGAATGAATTCTCTTAACAGTATTTCATATTTAGGAAAAGTAATTTTTCTTGTAAGAACATACAATGTACATAATTATGATTATATAAAATTCGGAACAATATTACTCGTAGAAAAACATAGATAAATTAATTGTATTTCAAATAAATAATTCAGTTATAATTATATATATATATATTTTTTACTAAAAGAATTCTAGTAACAACTACCAATGTCCATCAAATATGAATCAAAATTACGGTATTACTTTCAATCAACAACGACAAGAAAGTTCTATCTCGGCGCTATCAAATTCTGTACTAACTAAGTATTATACACCATCAACGTAAGTAAAAAAAAATTTAATCTGTATAATAGTTACAGTGAATATAATAATATAGTTTTCATATCTTACAATGTGTGACGGAGAAAACTTCTTGTACGCTTCTTCCGAATCAACTCTTATAAAAATTCTTCCGTTTTTATGTAATGCTCTAAAATGTAAAATTACTGTTTAATAAAATATTTAACCATCAATATCAAATAATTAAATTGGTTAAAAATCTTAAACCTATGTTTAACTTACTAAATTATTATGCTAACACCCTGACTTAATTCACCAATATACTGGTTAGATTTTTATATTTTTCCAATAAAAATTAAAGAAATGCTTATGAAATGTGAGGTTATTGAGATGCGTAGTATACTAATTATATAAATATCTTATTTAAAATTGAAACTATATTAAAAATATTAATTTGAAACTAAAAAATATTAAAAATATTTAACTCAAAAAGCCACAAAAAAATTATTCAAAAATCACGGATATGTATTTTGGAAACAATGTTACAATTATAAACTTAGCGTTCATACACATACTTTTTAGCTTCGATTAGAATTTAACCATGATGTGCATTTTTTTAACTTTTATGTAAAGCTGTGAAGGTGTTAATTTTACTATGTGTTTATTTCTTATTTTTATGTCTGTCGCGTTTAGAGACGTTAGAGATATTATTGTTTCGAATTACATTTACACTGTATATTTTATTATATTAATATAATAATAATATAATCATGTAATTAATTTATCAAGTTATCTGTGAGGTACCTTATAGTTATTAATTTTTTATTATAATGATTTTAATCACTATCAGATATCATCTATACTTGTCATAACTATGCCACGTCCCCCCCATTGTACTACCGTTTTTTGTATCTATCAATTCATGCGTTTGGCTTCTTCTGGACTAATTTTGCTTAATTTATCATAAGAATTTAAATTATATCTATTTAAAAATATTACTCTCAAAAATTGAAAAAATCCTCAATTTTTTTTAGATAAAGATATTTAAAATTATTAAAATGGTTTCTTTATCACAATTTAACTTAATTTAAAAAATTTGACTAAATCGGAATTTTTGTAAGTTATACTGTAGAAACCGCAGTAGTGTCAATTACCTTTCTATCGTTATATTTTTTTTGAAAATACAACAAAAAAGTACTAGAGGTTTTGACTATAGTAAAAATTGTTGTAAAATGTTTTTAACACGTTTATTTTATTTAGAAATGGGAAATCTATGCAATCATAAATAGGACCAGATTCTTATTATGTCATGTTCTAATTTCGCTGGATTTTTTTTTAATTTTGATATATACCTCTAATTTAGAGTTTAACTTGATTATATACAAGTTAAAGAAAAGCTGAATTTTGAAAAGTGATAATTTTTTATAACGATATCGACGAATAAAAAACTATTTTCAGATCAATTTCACCAAATCACTCCAGAGCCGTACGCACCAACATGCAACAAAGACAAATAACTTCAAATATTGTTCAACAACATAAAGGGTATAATGTAGGTGTATTATCAATTCATTTTTTCTTGATCTCATTTTATGATTACTATGAATTTAATGACATATTTTTTTAATGCCGGAACTAAGTTTTGCGGCTATTGAGAAAAATTATATTGAAATAAGATCATAGGCGTCAAAAAAAAAAGGGTTTTGGGTTCAACTTTAGAAAAATCATTTAAGTTTTATTTTTCTGAACTGAGGTTATCCTTAAAAAATACTAAAACACTAAAATGTTATTAACTGATTTCTAATTTTCTCAATTGCCTTATTCTTACGCCGGCGTTGTACTTTTTATTGTATTTAAATAATTTTTTATAATTATTTAATTTTAGAGAGTAACAAAAATGACAACAACTACTACTACAGTTGTAGAACAATCGGCACAGCATATTAATTGTTACAGAAATTCAATTTCTTCACAGAATTCTCGGCGAATCATACCACAGACTAATCGGTCTCCTGAGTTAATAGAATTAGATTAATAGTTATAATATATTGTTTACGCTATAATACTAACATTTTTTTATATTTTCGTAAAATATTCAACATTATCGTTTTAATTTATTTTTTATATTATTGTTTTCATTTAAAATTGAAGTAATATAAAATTTACTATTGTAATTTTTTACCTTGTTTTTTATTTGTTTTATTGCGTGTTTAGATTATTTTCTAAATTAAAATTTTATTTTTCAAATTTACGGTAAAATACACAATAAAATATATGGAAGATCGATTTAATATTTTAAATGGAAACGTAAATGTTTAACTAGCTTAAAAATAAGAAAATGATCCATCTATAAAAATAATTGGACTTGGATTTATCTACCTTAGTAATTATTATTGCCAATAATAAAAAAATATGTACTGGATTATAGCCCTTAATTAAGGACCATTTTATTATTCATATAAGATACTATACAGGGTGTTCAGTAAGTTAGGAAACAGTTAAATTGTTACAAACAATGAGTACAATAGAAATTCGTTTCCTTATTTACTGAACACTCTGTATATAAATTGTGTACGATAAGGGATCGATTTATGTGTTACTAAATTAATAGTTTATACTTTGACATAACCTCTTAATCAAATTTGGACATTATTTCAGATTTTATTAGTCTGAGAAAAATGTTTGATCAGCTCATCATTTTATGAAGTCGCCCGTTTTTCTCTCGATTCATTTCCTAAAAACTGGTATCTAAAAAATTTCCACGATAAAAATATTTTTAATATAAATTTGACATTAATAAATATTTAAGTGGTTTACTTCTGTCTACAACATTTAAGCTCTTTCGAAATAGCGTCGTGCTTAGTACGGAGGTACGGAGGATCGAATCCGCAGCACAAACAAGAGTTGGAGAACGTAGAGAAGACGTTGAACAAAAGTAGTGTTTAAATAATCGCTTCTATGGTAGTTGGCGATAATCTTAACATAATTTAATTTTATTTCTACTAATTAAATAATAAAATAATATCAATTTTTGTACCTAACTTAATTTATTTTCGATACAGTATACTTATTAGGTGAGCATCTTCGCTAACAAATAAAAATATTAATAAATTTTGAAAAAATAATAATAGAATACGATATTCATGATTCCTCTTGTGAATGTTTTTCTTTTCGCTTTCTTTCTTCTCTGATCTTCTGGTTTTTAATTAACACCTCCGGGATTCATAAACTCAGGTATTTGAAGTGTCACAACGACCTGCATATAACACACAACCTACGTTCTATTACAACACTGAAATGTATAATACTTTATATACTGTCCGTTTTTCATGTGGTTAAATTCCTGTGCTGATCGATCAAAATAGCCTTGTAAAATTAAATAATTATGTAGTTTAAACTTGTCTGTTAAAAGAAATATTAAATACGAATGATTTTTATAACGGCATATGTAATAATAGGTTTGCGTTAAAGAAAATTATTCAGTTCGGTATATTAGTGAATTTCTTGAATTATAGGCATACGTATAACTGCATTAAAATCTTAGATATTATATCAAATTAATATTAATTATTGCACTGGTTATTTTATTTTCTAAGAGTTATTTCAAATGTATTGGTTCCTGGCTAGAGACACACAATTAACATCGAACATTCTAATGCATGCCGAAAGCAAACTAAGTATTCAACAGTAAATGGTAATTGAGTATCGCAAGAGACTTTAATACATGTTTGGCACTTTACGAAGGAATGAAATCATCTAAGTGTTAGTAAAAAAGTTGTTGAGTTACGAACTGAGATATTGGATTGTATTTTAAATATTTAAAGGGTACGTTTTAAATGAAATCGAATGAAAACACTAAATTATTTACTGTATATTTATATTTTATTAAAAATAATTTTGTTGACCAATTTAATGTTACACATTGGTGAAAATTTTTAATATCTTAATCATTCTTTTTGCGTTAATCAAATTTTTATGTTTAAAGAAATACATTTCTTAATATAACATTGAAAATTAATAAAAAACCTGAAGTATTCAGTAATTCAAATTTAATATTAGTGAATGTTTAAAAAAAATGTTAATATAAACGTTTAAATTCCGATAAAAAATTAAAATTGAAGCAATTACAGTTTTTCATGAATAAAAAGTAGCCATTAATCATTTATATTTTCAAATGCTCTTTTTCTAACATTTATTATTAATATGAAAATTAGTTATTATTTTTTATAACATGTAAAAAATTCAAATTTTTTTTCATTTAATAAATTTAGAATAGCATGTAATATTCGATGTCCGATGGCTTGGTTATTGTCGCAGAGGCTATAAAGACTAGCGTGCCAAAAATAAATTATAGTATGAGTTTATTGACACGAGGTGGCGCTTAGTATTAAAATAACGTTACGTACATAATACATTTAAAGTTGTAACCTGAGAAATTGTTGGCTTGAAATAGTTCCTATATTAATAAAACTTCTACAAAGTCTATGAGTAGCCATAGAAAATATGGCATAGTCCCAAATTTACAAAGTTTAGCTTTTAATCCGACCTTATTTGTAAATGTGTTTCCAATGAAGATCTTAGACGCCCTCCCTAATTTCTATATTAGAATAAACCCCATTAGCAGTTTATCTTGTTGAAATTAAAACTATTGAATTTGTTAATGTTTACTAATTTTACGGCTATATATGTTATCATTACACACTTCACTAAATTTTAATAATGATTAGTCATTTATTATGACTTGTCAATCATTTTAATTGCATAATTTTTAATTAATAAATAAATTAACAAAATTTTAATAAAAATCTGTATTTATATATTTATATACAATATAATTTATCAACTACACTATCCACCATTTTTTCATTAAGGAATAATTTTTTCGTAAAAATGTATGGATTTAAAATTTAACTTATTTCTATAAACCATTATAAATATCAAGTGTATTGTAAAAAAAAAATATTTACAAATGTAGTTTTAAGGGATATCATTTGAAAGTTAAATGGGAACTTGTTATTATTATTTTACTATTAAATGGAGAGTGGCTTAAATAAAATTTTGACAGGTCGATAACTAGTATTGTATTATTACTATTTGAGATATTAGCATTTGAAGATTTAGAAAAAGTGAAAAGCGGGATAGTGTTAAAGACTATTTTAGCTTCGATGCGAAGCTGAGAAGGTATTAATTTTAATATGATGTGTTTTTTTTGTGTCTGTTACCACTTTTTCTCAGCTCTCACCGAACCGATTTCTTTCAATGATACGTCAAAAGATCACAAATCGTATCTAGTCGAAGACATTACCCTCAAAAATTGAAAAAATTTCACTCGTTTCCCGTAAATGGGGGAAACCTTCAAAAAAATTACAAATTTAATTTAATTTAATTTTCGACATTTTTTCAATTTCTTTTACTTAAAACTGCCATAACTTTTTAAAAAATGACCAAATCAATATAGTTTGATGTGTTTAACTATTATTTGATATATTTATATTGATATATATTTATTTATTATGTCTTCACGCTTAGGGTACGAGGTTCAAATTCGCCTGTGGCAAATAATATTTTGCATTTTTTTTCGAGTTAGAAAACAATTTTGAAATCATTTGATTATTATCTCATTTAGATTCAGTAACTTCAATAAATATCAAAGATCCCATCACTATAGTCTCCCCTCGTGAGAAGAAATTTTTTATTCATGTTAATATTATTTTACTATGTGTTTTTTTTAGGGCGCGATTTATTTTGCCAACCCTCACTTGACCTACTTTTATCAACGATACGTCAAATTATACACTTTGTCTTTAGTTGAAGATATTACCCTTAAACATTGAAAAAAAATCCCTTAATCAAATAACATGTAGCTTAACCATCTTTATCCATATAAACAATTAAAATCATTCATTTCTAATATTTTTAAAGTATGTTGTCGAATTAGATTTGATATTATATAATTTTACTTTGAAATTTATTAATTTTTTTACTCTATTTGTGTGTGCTACTACCAGTCTATAACATTCCTAATTTTTTCGTAATATGTTGCTATATAAATCATAAAACTAAAAAAAAAATGATTTTTAGTTTCACCTAAATTTAACAATGGATGAAATAAAAAATTCACAATTAATTTTAAAAATTATATAATATAATATAATTAAAAGAATTACTAAGCTGGGTATAATAAAGGAAATAGAAGTTGATGTTGCTTTTGTAATTATCCATCAATTTCTTAGAATTAAACACTATTTACAGATTTGCATTGAAGCGTTTCTTATGATAGTGATTTTAATCACTGTCAGATTAAATCTATACTGGATCCAACTATGCAACTTCCCCACTATACCGCGACCCCACTGTGCTGGGTTTTTTTTACCTAAAATTGCTATAACTTTTTCAAAAATGAACAAAGCAATATAATTTTTTTTTTTTATAGATGCTTGATGTCTTTACCTATCGTTTGGTATATTTTTTTTATAAATTTAACCCTTTATCAGCCCACAGGGGAGGATTCAAAATAACAACTTTTTCAACTTTACTTTTGAAAGTGTTCCGGAAATTCTGACACTTTTATATATATCTTTAATTAAAGCTAATGTAATGTACTTTATTATGAAAAAAAAAAATTTGACCTCTGGACTTGACTTTGTGGTGAAAATGGCTACCAAATGCTATTTTTGTGCGAAAATTCTCGATTTTATATTTTACATTTTTAACTATATTATGCTATAACTATTTGAAAAGTGTATGGATCAACACAATTTTTTTATGAGAAATAATATTTTTAATGATCCCTTTTTCATTCGACATATTTTATTTTAATCAGGATATTAATAAGGAACTAGTTATTGTACTGAAGCTTTTGGAATAATCCACCAATTTTTTAAAATTAAACACTATCTAAAGATTTGCATCGAAGCGTTTTTTTTTATAGTGATTTTAATCACTGTCAGATATCATTATACTTGATCCAACTATGCCACGTCACCACTGTGCCGCGACCCCCTGTTCTGGGTTTTTTTATATACTTTTTTTACCTTAGCGTTCAGATAAGAATTCTACATTGCGCACCTCGTTCGTCAAAAACTATATATTATAACAATTTTAAATTTTATTTAAACCACTCTCCATTTAATAGTAACATAATAATAACAAATTTCTATAAAAATTTTTTTTCAAAATTAATACAAAGTTCTTAAGTTGCGTAATTTATGCACATTCCTATATTTGTTTAATATAATATTACAATATTCTTATAATCTCGATTTATAATCATTAAAATCACATCTAGTTTTTGTGATAACACCGGCTCATAAAAAAAAAAAGTTGTCTGTACTTTTGACCGGACCCATCTACGGACATGTATTTTGACCCGTTGAATTCGAATATGAAGTCCGTTTGGCCCTGTCACCCTTCAGATTTGAGTAAAATTCAAAAAACCAAAAAATAATCAAAAAATTGTAAAAAACTGCAGTCACAGCGATGAATAAAATTTTGTGGACCCTAATCAAGTATGATTTTTATGTATTTCAATTTAATGAATTTAAACTGAAAGTTAAGTAGCCCGTTGAGTCGTCAACATTTGAAAAATAGCAAAAAAACCCAAAAATTGTAATAAATCATGAAAAATCGAAATTATCGAGATGAAAACAATTTTTTGGATTCAGATTGAGTATGATTTTTATGTATTTTATTCCACTGAATTTGAATCTGAAGTTTTCTTGTCCCATTAACGTTTTAAAATTTAAAAAAATCTCAAAAAATCAGGAAAATTGTAGTTATAAATATGAAAAAAAAAATTATAGAACACGATTAAATACTTTTGTTGTATTTTTGCACGCATAAAATAGGAGTTTAGAATATGAAAATATAAAAAATTGTAATATTTATAAAAAAAATGACTGGAATGAGGAGAACGATTTTCTCGAATTTTAATCTCTTCATGCACGGTGGCATCATATGATACCACTAAATTGTAGAATTTATATAAAATCGAAAAATCGTGGTCGCAATGTTATGATTGTTTTCGTTTAATGTACGGAACGTTACGCATCGGTCTACTTGGTTTTGTTATCATTGAAAGAGATATATTAATAAACGCGAAACTGTTTTGTGCATTTGAAAAAGTCAAATTTTACTTTTTTTTTATATATAATTAACGACCAAATAATGTAAGTATATTTATAATTAATTACTTTTATTATATAAAATAGTACTATTCATATATGGCAATATTAAAACAATATAATGTTGTTATGTATTCGAAATTGCTTAGTTACCATGTGGTTTCGAATGATACCACTGTGCCTATTATATGAAAAATAATAACACTTTATACTATGATGTTTTTTTTTCTAGTTGAAAATAGATCTCAGGGATAGAGATATAGTTTTTTTTTTGGATTTAGAAATCCCTAGTGATTTAGAATGTGCTGTATGCCCAGAATGTATGAGAGCATTTCACACTAAATTAATAAAAAATTGACTACAGTATATATTATTTTGTTAAATACTTTTAAAATATGTTATAAAACTTATATTCAGTTAAAAAACTGAAGTTATTAGAAGTCTGAAATTTAAGAAAAATACCTAGTCTTATTTATAATTTTATTAATTTTAACCTAAAAATAGCATACGGTAGACATTTCCACCATATATAACATTAGCATTAATCTTAGATAAATATAAAAGTGTCAGTATTTTCGGCACACATACAAAAGGTAATTTTTTGTAAAAGAGTTGTCACTTTAATACCCCCCCCCATGGGCAGGTAAGGATCAGATTTATAAAAAAAAATTTAGAAAATAATTGATAAATATCTCACTTATCTATATAAAAATAATTATATTTATTTGGTCATCTTTGAAAAAGATATGGCAGTTTTAAATAAAAAAAAATGTCGAAAATTATCGATTTTTAATTTTTAATTTTTTTGGGGATTTATCCAAATTACGGGGAACGAGGGAAAATTTGTCTACTTTTGAGGGTAATTTCTTTGACTAGATACGATTTGTAATCTTTTATGGTATCGTTGAAAGAAATCGGTTCGGAATCAATTTACTCAGGTCTCCGTTTTACTTTACTATTTATAAATAATTAGAATTTTTTAATTCGCTTTCATGTGCCATTTTAGCTTCAATACGTATCTGAGAAGGTATTAATTTTACTATGACGTATTATTTTTTGTGTCTGTCACTATTAAGTTCTAGGCCAGAGTACTATACCAAAAAACAAGTTCTAAAAATGATCAAATTATTTGATTTTGAGCAAAAATATTTATTAAAATGTGATTCGTATCTCTGTGGAAATCTAGCCTCACTACAATGAGTTCATCAACTGCCCCTTGTAGATGCTTTGTTTAAAATTTAAAAAGTTTTAAAAACATTTTTAACTATATTACTTAAATTTATTTAAATAGTTTTAAATAGTAATTTATTTAAATAGATTTTTTTAAATAGTTATAGCAACATAATGTTAAAAAATGAAAAAAATAATGTCAAGAATTTTTTTTACAAAAATTGCATATTTTTGCATACAGTAGTCATTTTCACCATGAAGACAATACCAGAGGTCAAATTTTTTTTTAAAATTAAATTATATTACATTAGCTTTAATTTAAGGTATATATAAAAGTGTCAGTCTTTCCAAAACATTTTCAAAAAATAACTTGAAAAAGTTAATTTTTTGTAAAAAAGTTACCATTTTGAAACTTTTCCCATTGGCTGGTAAAGGGTCAAATGTTCACAAAAATAAATCAAAAGATAGGTAAATACCTAAAGTATCTACAAAAAAAAAAAAATTATATTGATTCGGTCATTTTTAAAAAAGTAATGGCAGTTTTAAATAAAAAAATTTTTAAAAATGTCGAAAATTAGCGATTTTTAAATTTGTAATTTTTTGTGGGATTTCCCCCATTTACAGAGAACAAGGGAATCTCCCTTGTGAGTAGAATAAGTGTTAGATTTTCAAAAAAATTTTTGTATCACTAGTAGTAATTTTAATTTCTAAACAAATGATTAATTATTCTAAGAAATTTGCTTAATTTTTATAATATTTTATTGTTAATAAAAAAAAAAAACCTTACTTTATTCAAGTCTTCATTAAGTTTTTTATTACTTTCTTCAAGTTTATTTTTCAATTCTTCATTCTCTTCTGCTGGATCTTTATCAGTTATCATATCAGATAAACTGCTGAAATAATCATTAAGTCTCAACACTTTTAACTGCTTTCCGAGCTTAAGAAATGCATCTTGAGCTGTATTTGAAATAATATGTTAATAAAGTATATAAGATGTTCATTTAATAAAGAAACAGGTTGTATCAACAAACAAGAAGAACAATGTAAACTCTTTTCCCTACTTATTTGGCATCCATTATAATTTTTAAAATAAGTATCCTACCTTTACAATTTAAAAAGGGTTATAGAATAAATAACCTAAAGAACAATAAAATGTAGACTCTGTTAATCAATATATTGTCTTATTCTTTGAAAATGTATTTTAAAAAATCTTAATCAATTTTATTTAAATTTAATTAATAAAATCTTTTATTTTATTACAATAAAATTTTAAATTAGAATTTTATCCAAAATTATTTAGTTTTAGTCTATATGAAACTATGATTATCAGCTAGATAACTCTAGCTAGTAATGTCTTATTAATTTGTTTAGAATAATTTAGATTTATAATTAACATTTTTGAAAACTACTATTTATTCTTGAGAGGACAGGAAAACTGTACACTTCTCAATAGAATAAAATTTAATTTATAAATGCACTAGGGCACTATGCGTTCCTGACTATACTTTAGAAGAGCCAATTATTTTAGATGACAATAACATGACAGATGAAACTAAATAAAATAATTCTATATAATAATAAAAATCTAAATCAAAAAGAAAACAAAAAATTTTAATTTTAAATCATGTTACACTATAAAAATGTATATCCTGAAATCTAAAGAAAAATGAGTACTTTCACCTGAAAATAGCTTAAATTTACTAAGTATTTTAAATGCTTAAAAAATTTAGTTAATAAAATAATAATACTCACAAATACTACTAAGCTCCTTTTCACTCCAATTTAATTTTTTTTTTTCATTGAGCGTTTTTAACAAAGTGTATACTTCAAAGTAATCTGGGAATGATTTATTTATATTATAATATTTCTCAATTGTTTTGTTAACCAAAACGTTCTTAGTTGATTTGAAACGTATTGGTGGATTTTCAAGAAAATTTGGCTCTTCTTTAAGTTTACACATTTTTTTATATATTTCAACAGCTTTCTTTTCATACCTAAGTACAAATTTCATGTTTAAGTTGAAAACTAAAAGAAATTTTGACTGTTTAAATAACAGTAATTTCTTTTAATAACAAACTTATCTCTTACAATGTAAGCAGATCCAACATCAAAATCATCATCATCGCTTACATTAATTTCCTTTTCATTCAACATTTTTATCTTTTTTCTAACTATCTAAACAAAAAAATCAATGTAATTTAATTATTATTTTTACTGGATAATTTTCTTGTAATATTCAGAATAACAATATTAATCTTTTCTATCTATGTGGCCAAATCAGTAACATATAGTTGCTTAATGCACACTATCAGAGGTTCGAGACTCTTACTTTACTTTGTATCAGTTATAATGCATTGATTAATCGTATTTAATAAAGTTTTTGTTGAATTGGTAATTATGCTAAAGAATTATATAGAATATGATCTAAGATGAAATAAGACACGTTTCGCTTCCATCAAAAAGCGGTAACATTATCGATTGGGGTGAACACTTGTAGGCGTAGTGAGCTATATTTGACAAGTGAATCATAAGTTTATTAGTAGCATCTTGGACGTAGCCTTGAACAACCTTCAGGTCTGTGACCTTTTGAACTCGTTAGAAGACGATGATTGTAAAAGAAGGAAATTGGAATGGATGAAAAGTATGTGCGAGAGAGAGAAATAAACTGGTAGGTTCCTTCAGACACTATATATGTTAGAACTTATAACGGCCATACCGGACACCCACCCCCTGCATCCCGTTGTAATCGTGCGGATCAGGTTTTGTGGTAAAATTATACGGAATAAACATGTAGCGCGTTTGTGCAGTTTCTGTAAGTATAGAATATTACTATCCGACTTATGATGATAATATGTTTGTAGTAATGCTGATGGCGGTGACGAAGAAATTGTGTCATATAATTGCTGAGTATTTGAGACGTGAAATCGCTAAAAATACGAAAATTCTCCTGAGAACTGATTTTTATCTTGGAGTTTGTAACAAATTTATGCGCAGACTGCAATGAAAGAATGCTACGGAATCATTTCAATTATATTAGTGTATTTATCGTACTTCATCTTAAGCAAAACAAGATCATAGAGCGTGACTACTAAAAGGTTTATATAAAAAACTATAATGATAGTACTTTTATTAATAGTAAATTTTCATAAATAAAAACAAACGGTTGCGCAATGGGGTTTAACATTTAAAAAAAAATTTACCGATTTTTAAAAATGTAATTTTATTGAAGATTTTCCCCATTTATAGGGAACCAGGGAATTTTTTAATTTTTAAGGGAAATATTTTCAACTGCATACGATTTGATATGTTTTGGCGCATCGTTGAAGGAAATGGGTCCGGTAAAAACTGAGAAAAAGTGGCGATAAAATTAAAAAAAAACACATTATAGTAAAATTAACACCTTGTCAGCTTCGCATCGAATCTAAAACTTGTAATCAAGATATAAATAAAAAATAGGAGTTCATTTTGCTTTTGGAATAATCCACCAATTTCTTAAAATTAAATACTATCTACAAATTAGCATCGAATGTTTTCTTATGAATTTATTAATTGTGATTTTAATCACTGTCAGATATCATCTATACTTGACCCAACTATGCCACGTCCACACTGTGCTTCGACCCTATTATGCTACCGGTTTTTTTATTTTAATTTTTTCTGCAAAAAAAAAACGCTGTTTTATAATATTTTTACTTTTTTTTTTTATCAAAAAAATGATTAGCTATAAATAAATTTTTTAAACTCTTCTATAATTTGCAATTAATAAAATTTATGACGTTGGTAACTACTAACTATTTTTTGTAAACCTTGACAATAAATGTTCTTAATTATCACGAATTCTCCATACATTTTAACCTTGAACAAAGAAACCATTATAGTTTAATAAGAAACTGTATTAGGGAATATAAATATTATATATATATTATAGTATATTTTAAGGGTTAAAAAAAACTAAAAATCCGCTATTTACTAATAATTTAAGCTTAAAACCCTTAGTTTAGAAATGTTGGAGACATTACCTCGATGCAGCACTCCTCCGTGTTCCTCTACATTTCAATATAATAAGTCTTATTTAAGATTTTGAATTCAGATAATTTGAGATTCTTCAATAATTGTTTATTATTGAAATTAACATATTCTAAGTAAAAAAATTATTCCGTTTATATATTGAGGATTAATACGCGATTTGTTTTTATACTCAAAAGTAGTGTGGAAGTTAAATCCTTCTAAAATAAATATAAAGGAGACACAAATGTTTTTTAATGTAGACGTTTAGAAAAAATGTTCAAAAGACAATCTTCTATGAAAAATTTTTACACTTGAAAATGATTTATGCACTTCATAATCATTCTCAATTATTATTTAATATAGGTAACTTGAAGAAATAAATTCTCGACAAAAATTTCCGTGATTATTATACTAACTACTGTAATTTTATTCATATATTTGTACAATTAATGAGTCATAAATTATGATGTAATTTTTATTTTAGTTAAAGGTCAATTAAATTTGTATAAAAATACTGTTTTTATTTTTATTACGAATTGATATAAAGTGACTAGATGAAATTTTAATAAACGTTAATTTTTATCAGGGATATTCCAAAGCTAAATATATGAAATAGTTGGAAAAATTTTTTTTACCAACTAAATTTTTTTTTTTAATTTTTGGAACCACCTCATATTTTAAAATTGCCAACTGAAACGATAAAATATTGCTATGTAGGGTTTGTGACACCTTCTTCCAGACAGTCCTGGTATAATTTAATAACTATTATTTTCTCTACCAAGAGTTTTGTTTAATAAATAAATTCTATACTAATTATAAAATCCAACTTACTAAAATAGTACATCCGCTTGTTAAAAACGACGGAACCTGTGGATTTTAGCTCATATTTTTACTCAAAGTCTTTACAAAATATTCTTGTTGTATCTTTTCTAATGACAGTCGACCTCGGTTTAAGCGCAGCTGGATATAAATGGCAAAGTATAAGTATAACTATTTAATTATAAAAAACTTAATATAAGCAAATATATTTTCATTGTGGCTTATTTATAAAAGATTTAAAATAGAGTTCCTCGTGTTAAATTTTAGAATACACTATTGAAACTAAACAATTGCTTAAAAATGGTGTTTTATAGAAAACAATTAATTAATAAATTCAAGTTTAAGTAGGTCATAGTGGAATGAATTGAAAACTTTTGATGAGACTATATGATATACACGAACAAAATAATCTCAGATATTTCCGTGTAATCTGTAAAAATCAGTAAAATTATACATTATTCATCTCTATTTATAGTCATTGAAGTAATCTGAAAATTTGTTACATTTTAATGTACACATAAAAATATTCATTCATTCATTATTATTATATTATTCAGAAAAATATTGACTGAAGTGGCTTTCGGGATTAATCTCACCAGAACCAAAAAACAACACGAGACTATGAAGTGGAGGGTTGACAGAATTTTATCATATATAAACCGCTCTCTATTTTTTATAAAATCATAAATACTAATTGGTATTTAGGATTAAAAGAATAGAAAAATAAATTTAATTAAAAAAATACAATTGAAAATTGTGATATCAGATAATTTTTCAAAACAGTATTGGTATTGTTTATATTGCAGCATTACAATACTCTTAATAGTTTCGTTGTTAATCGTTTATTCGAAAATAAGACCAAACAGTTAAAGATATATTAAAAATTATCTGATATATTTCTTATTTATTAATTCTATTATGACGATGGACGATGAGTTCATGGAATAATAATAAATCTTTGTTTTTATTATTCTTTGCTATCACGATATCATGTTTTAACAGCATACTTGAGATTTACTCAAGTGAATACCTTGAAGTGCACAACAACAAATTCAGTCGGGAGTCTGGTAGTCAATAGTTTTATTTTTATGGCGATTGAAACAGGACAAAAACGGATTACGTCATACTATTGCTGTCATCACGTTCGACTGGCGCAATTACGGGCAATGCTGTTCCGGTACCCAATATTTACGCTACAGAACATCCATGACCCTTGGTCACTCATAAGATTCCAATTATTTTTAACGAATGACCTTTGATTGTGATTCATGCGCTGCTGGTTTATCCGATTATAAAGTGGTACCTGGTAAAATTTAATAACATCGTTGGGCATTATATGAAGAAAATTATATTTAAATAGTCATCCAAACAAATAACTATTGATCGAATAAAAATATATTGTTATTAAAATTGATGTGGTTTAAATATTATTATATTTATTAGTAGTAGTATTTATCATACTTTCATATAAATAAACTTTCCAAAAACTGAAATAATTTCGATTTCAAGATCTATTATCATAAAATATAACAAGTCCATCTTAGATAAATATTTCATTGGTTATTTTCTTTGTAAAAACAATAAAGTTTTTTATCTTAATTTATTGAAATTTTATTTTTATAAATACTACACTTCAACTATTGTAAATATTGAATATTAAAAAAATTCATTTAAATAATAATATTTGTGTATTGGATAAAAGAAATTATAAAGTAAATAACTCTAACATATTGATATCGAGAGAGAGAGTATGAATATTATGAAGAGTTAATGAATTGACTAACATACTTCCAATTTTAAAGTAAAAAGGACAGTTTAAGAGATAACGAGAAAAATTTGCTTAAATGTTCCTCGTCGTGAAAAATACAAAAATGGAAATATTTATGAATTCAAATCGAGATTTGTGAATTAAAAAGAGTAACATATAGTTAAAATATAACACTTAATTGTGTGCATAGAATAATGATAGAGAATCACAATTTAATAATGCTGAACTTAAATTGCTCATACATATATAGAGTGGAATAGATCTAACTGACAATCATATAATTTATAATCTACATAACTTTTTAACCAATTTTTACATTATGGCAACATATTTAAAATATGATTTATGCTATTTTTCGCGATTACAAAATATAATTTTTTTTATCATTTTAAGATTTGTTAATAAGTTTACAAGTATGTTATCGTATTAAGAACGTAATACGAAAATATTTACATATGTCCTTTATATACGTTTGATACCATAGAAAAAACATAAATAAATTCAAAATTTAACAAATTTTAAATATAGTCCTGTATTGTAAAAATTGGTTAAAGAGTAAAAAGTTATGTAGATC